GCCTTGTGCGCTCCTACGGCCGGGGCCTGCCGGATGCCGACCGGTCCGTTGTGATCTCTACAACGTGGAGAAAGATTCAGCGGCGCCTCGCGTTCGGCAGCGCTGAAATGCTGCTGAGTGCGACGTGGGCAACTCACGGGCTCCGACTGGACCACCGACACCACCGCGGCGACCATTAGCACGCCCGCCCCACGCCCACTACGACCACCACGACCACCACCACGACCACCACCACGACCGCCGCCCTACGACCACTACGACAACCACGCCCACCACCACTACGTTCGCCTACCGTCACGAGCACTGCGACGACCAATGCGGGCGGCCACGACGACGACGACCAGCGCCGCGACCACTACGACCACCACGACCGCTTCGGCCGCCACCGCGGCCGCCGCCCCCACGCCCACTACGACCATCACGCCCACCACCACGACCGCCGCCTTCCGACCGCCCCCGCCCCTTGCCCCTGCCTCCCCTCCCCCCGGCTGGCCGCTCCTCCCGCTTCCTCTTCCTCCTCCATTTTCTCCTCCTCCATCTCCTCCTCCTCCTCCTCCTCCTCCTCCTCCTCCTCCTCCTCCTCCTCCTCCTCCTCCTCCTCCTCCTCCTCCTCCTCCTCCTCCTCCTCCTCCTCCCCCCCCTCCTCCTCCTATTGTCGCACGCGGGCTGGTGATTCGCGCCGGGGGGCCGCCGCCAGCTGCCTTGCCCGGGCCTGGTTGCCCGCCGGGCGCGGGGGGGTGTCCTTCCCCTCCCCCCCCCCAGAGAGAGAGAGAGAGATAGAGAGAGAGAGAGAGAGAAAGAGAAATAGAGAGAGAGAGAGGGAGAGAGAGAGAGAGAGAGAGAGAGAGAGAAATAGAGAGAGAGAGAGAGAGAGAACGAAATAAAGGAATATATAATGAGGAGAGCAGAAAAAAAGAGGGAAACAGAGGGAGAGCGAGAGCGCGTGGAAAGGGTTGCCGATCGCCGGAATTCGAGATTCGCTAGGGCGTGCCAGGAGTTGTGGAAAACCTCTCCCCCTCTCGCCTGCCCCCCCCCCGCGCCTGTCCTCTCCCTCCACAGCGAATTGCTGACCAGCTTGAAGCGAATGCCCTCTCAGATCGGCGGTGCGTCGTGGCTCTCGCGCCCCCCGCCCGCCGCGAATCGCCTGTGGGCCCCCATCCCCAGCGTTCGTGGCGCTAGCGTTCCTCCTGTAGGCCCTCAGGGCGAAGTGACGCAAGCTGAAGCTCACTGATGTTTAGGTCCGTTTTTTTTCTTCTTTTGTGGACGCCCCCAGCTTCCCATTCCCATCCCATGATGATGAGGAGGAGCAGGAGACGGGTCACGATAAGGCTAGCGATAATGATGACGACGATGACGGCGATTAAACTGATGCGGCTGATCATAAGTATGTCGATGACGATAACAAATAGTGATGCCGGTAATGGTGATGACCTTGATGACGATGACGACCACGATGGCAGTGGTGATGGTGGCGGTGGCGATGAAGGTGGCGATGCTGTCCGTGGTGATTGTGGTGACTGTGGCGGTTGATATGATACTTGTGACGCTGGTGATGGTGATGATGGTGATGGTTTTGATGATGATGACGATGGCGATGTTGATGATGCTGCTGCTGATGATGATGACGATGAAGATGACGATGGCGAAGCTGATCACGATGATGATTGTCATGCCGAAAACGGTGATTTTGCTGATGAGTATGATCGTTGTGATTGTGATGAAAATTGTGATGATGACGACGGAGGTCGGGGTGACGATCATGGTGGTGGTAAATGTAAACGTGGATTGTGCTGATGCTGGTGATAACGATAATGACAATTCTGTCGATGACTCTGATGACGATGATGATGATGATGATGCTGATGATGATGATGATGGCGACAATGATGATGATGACCATCATCATGCTCATGTCCATGACCGTCATTCTGATCATCATCACGGTGGTGATGATGGCGAAAAGGATGAGGTGAGGATGAGTATGAGAGCGAGGATTGCGAATGGCGATGACGATTGTGACGATCATGATCATGGCCATGATGATGACTATGTTGATGATGGTATTTATGCTCATTATGATGATGATCGTGCTGCTGCTGATGACCACCATGATTATCATGATGCTGGTGATAATGATGATGATGATGATGATGATGATGATGATGATGATGATGCTGATGATCCGATCCGACCCGCCGGTCAGGGTCCGCCCGCCTAGCACGACCCTCTTGTTAGAACCCCAGGCTGCCAATCGATTAAGCACCATACTTTAATGGTTCGCCCGCCAGGCCCGATGAATTCGATGGCGATGGCGATGAATGATTGGGAGGGTTGGGATTGTGATGATGATGCTTATGATAATGATGACGCTGGCGATGATGCTGATAATGACTGTCATGGTAAAGCTGGCTGTGATCGTGATATTGGTGATGACCTCGGTGATGCATACGGTGATGAGATTGTCAATAACGGTGATGGTGATGCTGATGAGGAATCTGACGATGATGATGAGAAGGATGATGGTGAAGATGATGCGGATGTGGATGAAGATGCCGATGAGGATGATTACGATGATGATTGTGATGATTAGGATGAGGATGGCCATGATGAAGACGATGACCACACTGAGGATGATGAAGGCGATGGCGATGGTAATGCTAATGCTATTGGTGACGATGGTGCTATGGATCCTGATGAGGATGAGGATGAGGATGATGGCGATGATGATGAGGATGAGGAGGAGAAGGAGGAGCATGAGGATGAGGATGTCGATGATGGCGATGATAATGATGACGGTGAGGATGAGGATGCAGCTGTCAATCATCACGTTTATGACGATAGCGATTGTCATGATGACGGTGACGATGACGGTGGCGATGACGGTGGTGATGATGTTGTTGTTGACGATGGGGATGAGGATGTCGATGCGAATGATGCTGATGATGATGTTGATGATGATGATGATGATGATGATGATGATGATGATGATGCTGCTGATGATGATGATGATGATGGAGATGAAGATGAAGACGAACATGATGCCGATTCTGATGATGGTAATGGTGATGGTGTATTTGACGGTTCTGATGAGGATGATGATGATAATGGTGATGATGATTATGATCATGGTGGTGTTGATGATGATGTTGTTGAGGTTGAGGGTAATGGTGGTGATGAGGATGAGGATTAGGATCAGCATGATGATCATGATGCTTAGGATGATTATGATGATGGTGGGGTTGAGGATGAGGATGATGATGAGGATGTGGATGATGATTTGCTGCCGGCGATTGGGGCTGGGAAGGTTGACCCTTCCCTGTGGTGTCGCTGGCACGAGCGTGTTTCTTCATTGCTTGGGGCATAATGGACATTATAGTCCCCGGCCCTCCCTCCCCCCCCTACCCTTATAACGTAACGCCCCTCCCCCCCAGTGCGCTCTGGGCACTGCCGCCGTGCGCATCGGGATCCGCATCGGCCTCCGCATAGGAATCCGCATCGGAGGAGGAGGAGGAGGGAGAAGAGAAGATCGTCGCATTCTATTTTCAGCACATTCCTGGCGTGGCGTTTAGCTGTCCGCAACAGATCCTCACCGACATGCTCGTTCTACCTGTCCTGTGCAAGCAGGCGCTGTGGTGTGCACAGGCGCTGCAGTGCACGCGAGCATTGTGGTGTACACAGGCGCTGTGTAACACATTGTTGCTGCGGTGTTACACATTCGCTGTTGTGTACATCGGCGCTGTGGTGCACGCAAGCACAGTGGTGTACACAGGCGCTGAGTCGCACACGGCTGTTGCGATTCACGCAGGCGTTGTGGCGTACACGCGCGCTGTGGTGCACGCGAGCATTGTGGTGTAAATAGGCGTTGCGGGGCAGGTCGCCACCTACATGCTGCTCGTGTCGGCGTCGTCGTCGCTCGTCGCTCGTCGCTCATCGCCGTTGTGCGCGCGGGCGCGGCTGTGGTGCCGGAGCCACACGGCGGGGGGGAGGCGTTACATTATTCCTCCCCCCCGGCCCCCTCCCCCCCTCCCCCCTGTAATGCCCATTATCGCCGAAAACAAAGAAACGCGCTCCATTGGGTGCGCGGCCGCCGCCGTTGACGTTGTCGCCGTCGTCTCGTCGGCGTCATCGTCGTAGGCGTCCTTCTTTGCCGGCGGCGAGGGGGGGGGGAAAGGTGGATGAGCCGCCGCCGCCGCTGCCGAGGTTGTCGCCATCGTCGTCGGCGTCGTCGTGGGCGTCCTTTGCCGTCGGCGTCGGCGAGTAGGGGGGGCGGACGAGAGGGGGAGTGAGTCCTCCCAGTTCTGGTTCCGCTGGTCGCTGGACGTTTCCAAATCAAGCGTCCCGATTCGCATTCTCGCTCAGAGAGAGAGAGAGATATATATATATATATATAACTTAATATAGAGAGGGAGGGAAAAATATAGAGATAGAGGGATGTATGAGAGAGAGAGAGAAATAAGTAAATACAGAGAGGAGCAGAAGAGGGAAATATGAGGCAGACAAAGACCATAGTATAACTGGCTAGCCACTCCATTCTGGCTGTCGAACATCACCTCCGTCCGTTGGCGACCTGGCGTGCAAGTCAGCCGCGTTGTCTTGTCTCGTGGCTGTGGGTGTGCGCTCTCCCGCTCGCTCTTTCCGCGCGGACCGTCACGGTCAAAACCTTGCATTAAAAACCGGTTTGGTTTGGAAGGGGCTCTGGGCTCCCCCTCATCGGATTTCTCCTCGGGCGAATCGCAAAGATCCGGGCGCAGCTGGAACCCAGGGATGGCTCGTTTATTTGCCCAATATTCCTTTTGGAAGAACTTCGACTGTGTTCCGCGATGTCTTACCCCCCACCCCGCCACTACACTGCGTCCCCCACCTGTGTTGTTCGGCCTTTTCCGCCTTCTCCACATCATCATTCGCTGCATTGTCGGCCCAAACGTAAGCCACGGCACGTTGACGAGGGCCCCGGTGTTCCGGGGCGTTGGTTAACACATTTGTTCTGAGCTTTTGCGACCATGCTCGGACCGCTCAAGTCCTTGTTCTGGCCAAAGGATGACCGCATCGCCAAGGGGGTGGAGGTTGCGTCTCCAGCAATGGAGACGCTCGGCACCAAGCAGCGCAAGCCCTCTTTACAGAATGTGAAGGCGGAGGACTACGCGACCCCCGACAAGTACCTCGAAGGCTCGACTACGGGAAGTGGAGAAAAGTGGGAGGAAGAGGTGTCGATGTGGAAGGAGGAGGAAAAGTGGGGGAAACAAGAAAAGGGAAAGCAGGAAGAGTGGGGAAGAGAGGAAGGCAAGGGGGAAAGGGGGGAAGACAGGAGAAGAGGCGTCAACGTGCGAGCATGAAGAAACAACGACCAAAAACAAACGCCAAAAGGAGGGATGGGGTAGACTGTCTGTCTCAAAAGGAGGGTTCCTTTGACTCAGCAGGCCCCCCCAGAGTTTCTTGGCCCCAGTGCCCAGCCTGAACGGATGGACAGAGTGTGTAAGTATTCGCCAAGTGTCATTGGGAACATCAGGTCCAAATATACCGAATGCGCCATCCTATTCCGAGCATCCAGTGTCCTTCCTCTTCCTGGGGTGGGTCGAAACAAAGATCTATTGCGAAGGCCTTACGGCGGGTGCCGCCGACCCTGAACGCGGGAGGGACCTTCCCCGGGACCCCCGCTGGCGACCCTTCTTGGGACCCGCCGGGACTCTGGGGAAGGGGGGGGCGGTATTTTGACCCAGGATCCCCCCCATAATTTTCCCTAATTCTCCCACGCCCCGGCAGGGAAGGGAAAAAGGAAATGACATCGACTTAATCACGACGTTCTTTCCATTGTTTCTCAATTTCTTTGGGGTTGGCGACGCCGACGACGAAAGTGGAAAAGCTGTAAATCAAGCTCATTCCCCAGGAATGTAAGAGGCCCGAAAGGGTTTCCCCCAGAAGCCTCGAGGGCCCTGTGGTCTGATTTCTTGCTCGCCGCTGCCATTTTATTTCAAACTAGGGCCCTTGGCCTCAGAGCTACGCCCTTCGCGACGCCGCGAGTAAGAAGATCCATCGACAATCTTCCACACCACAGTGGCTGCTTGGAGCGAGTCTCAGCTGCCTGGCGCCGCGCGCCATTTCATATCCTGGCGCCGCGCGCCATCCCATTGTGCAGCCACGACGAAGCCGTCGCGACCCACGGAATCGAAGCCCAGCGGCTTCCTCGCGTTGTTGTTCAGCGCCTACGCCAGCGTCAGCGACGCTATCAACGCCTACTTCTCTTACGACAGCGTCAGCGACGCCTTCATTAACGCCTGCCCTGCCGCCAGCGTCAGCGACGCCAGCACCTACGCCTCTAACGCCTACTTCCATTACGTCAGCGTCAGCGACGCTGACATCAACGCCTACTTCTCTCACGACAGCGTCAGCGACGCCGTCATCAACGACTATTTCGTCTACTTCTCCTACATCAGCGTCAGCGACGCCGATTTCAACGCCTACTTCTCTTACGCCAGCGTCATCGACGCAAGCTTCAACGCCTACTTCTCCTGGGCCGTCGTCTGCGACGGAAGCATCAGCGCCTACCTCTCCAACGCCAGCGTCAGCGACGCCAGCATCAACGCCTACTTCTCCAACGCCAGCGTCAGCGACGCAAGCATCAACGCCTACTCCTCTCACGCCAGCGCCAGCGACGCCAGCATCCACGCCTACCTCGACGCCAGTGTTAGCGACGCGGCTCGCTATCTCATTCTTGACAAAATGACAGACAATTGTGCATGCAGCGCCATCCCCACTTGGAATGGCGATCCGGCAAAGTGGAGAGATTACAAGCAGGAGGCTAAACTCTGGAAGCTCAGTGAGAACCTCGCCGTGGCACATAGTCTCGCATCGAAGCTCGTGCTAAAGCTAAGTGGGGCTGCCCGAGGCGCAGCGCTAAACATGGCGGAGGCGCAGCTGCATCCAGCAGCCGCGGCGGACATCGAAGACCCCGATGACAGGCAGCGCAATAGGAACCAGGTCGGCTTCGAGAATGTGATACAGCACCTGGTGGCTAGTTTGGGTCAGCAGAAGCCCGTGCAGAAGGGCGAGACTCTTGAGAAGTTCTTCGAGTCGACTCGACATCGCCGACGACGAGGTGAACGCATGGCGGATCGGCACATCCGTTTCGAGACTGGACTGCAGCAGCTACGCGAGAACGAGGTGGACCTCAACGCGTTGGACGACGCGGCGGGGCGGTCCCTGCTGCGCAAGGCCGGGCTCACGGCAGAGCGCCGCGAGCGCGTCGCGGGCAACCTGCCCGACGAGCACTGTGGCTGCCAGCGCATCCGCGGGCTGCTTGTCAGGACGTTCCCGGATATACACGCGTCGGAGCGCCGCGCCCCCCCGCCGAGGTCATGGGCCAACCAGTCGCGCTCACAAGGCGGCTGGCGCAGCAACGTTTCCCCCGGCCGCGGGGGGCGCTCTAAAAGCGTCGTCGACGAGCCGGGCGACGGGAACGACGAAGAGCAAGAGGAGGACGGCGAGGGCGAGGCCGACGCCCGCGACGTCGTTCGCCAGGAGTTCGAGGCTTTCAGCGCCGAGCTCGAGTCCTCCAACGTAGACATCTCCGAGCTGTTCGACGGCGACGACACTGCCGAGGTCGAAGCTGCCGCAGCGGAACTTGCGGATATTCCCGAGGCCATGGCCACGGGCGAGGAGGTCGCGGAGGCCGTCCTCAGCGCCAGGCGCGCATCGCCGAGCAGGTCCAGGTCGCGGACGAGGAGATCGCCCTGCACCTGCAGGGGCCAGTCACGCCGCCCCCAGAGACTTGCGTCTCGGAGCGGCTCATCCACCACCTGCCGAACGTGAACGTCGCGATCGGCAGTGAAAAACCCGTGGACGATGGCGTCGGCGCGGTCGACGCCGCCTGCCTTTTCCGCGTCTCGGGCAAGAAGTGATACGACAACTACAAGGACATCCTCACGATATCGGGGCTTGCCAACCAGATCCTCGAGGGGCCGGAGGACGAGGTCTACAGTTTCGGCAACGGAGGTACTCTCCCAAGCAAGCTGCGCGCCACCGCGCCACTTGTGCTGTGCGGCCAGGCTGGCCGCGTCGTGTTCAGCGTCGTGGACAGCCCCGCGCTGGGCTTGCTCATCGGCCGCGACTTCATCCAGCTTTCCAAGATTGACATTTCTTTCTGGAAGGGCCAGATCCGCATCGGGAACGCCACCTAGAAGCTCACCACGAGCGCCGCGGGCCACCCCGCAATCAAGTTGCAGCCAGAGGGCTGGCATGCCATCAAGGACGCGGGAATGGGGCAACCGCCCAGCGCGGCCAGCTCGTCCGGAAGGAAGCGACAGCTGGACAAGACCAAATACGTAGAGGTCGAGAAGACGCTCGACCGGCGGGATCGGAAGACGAGGACGGGCGACCAGCCCGCGGTCAACAATACTACCAGGACCAGCGCGCTGATCGACACCATCAACAACCTCGTCACGAAGAAGGAGCTGAACTTTCCGAGACGTCTCCAGACTCGGCGATCGAAGGGGTCGCGGCTACTTTCGGCCGTAACCTCAGCCCTGGTCTGCTGCCCCACCGCAGCTCCAGCTCCGAACCGCACGCTGGCGACGCTGCCGCAGACGACCTACCCCACGACGTGCGTGACCGAGCCCCTGCAGGACTGTATCGCCTGTGGCGAGACGACCTCCGAGGCCTGCAGCCACCGGGGTTCATGCTCGGATTGCGTTTTCGGCGCGCCCGTAACCCTGGGCCACGGCCAGGACGCCATCGCCAACGGCTGCCTCGGACCCGAGGCCAACATCGCGGAGGAGGAGCAGCTGCGCGCGAGGACGCTCGAGAAGGGAACGCAGCCGCAGCTGATGGCTGGCAAGCGCTCAGTCTTCGTCACCAGCAAGAGCGGCACCCAGCCGCGCAAGATCGGCCAGGCCTTGATTGCCAACCTGGCCAAGTCTACAACCAGATCCAGCCCGACCTCCATATCGAACAGCACCGTGCTCTACGAGTGGTGCTGCAAACCGGACAGCAAGCTCAGCGCCGTCTGGAAGAAGGAAGGGGAGTTGCTGTCACGTGCGGTCTTCCAGGCTTCGACCTCTCCGAGCAGTTCGTGGTCCAGAAGCTGGAGGGCAGGGTCCGGAAGCACCTTGCCGCAGGCAAGAGCGTACGAGTTCACGCTGCGTTTCCTTGTCAGCCGTGGACATCGCTACAACGACTCGTCGTCAAGATCGACCCGAGCAAGATCCCCAAGCTAGAAAGGGATCGGGCCAAGTCCAAGCAGATGATCGGCCCGTTCCCGCAGTCAATGTCACGGCTGCGCAAGGAGTTTGGCGCCCAGCTTGCCGTCTCGTTTGAGTGGCTGGGGTGCTGCGACGGATGGGGCCCCGACAAGAACGTTGTTGCCAGGCAGCTGAAGGAGCAGCTCCCGCGCGCTGTGGACTTCGACGGCTGCGCGTTCAACCTCAAGACAAAGAGTGGGATCCACATCAAGAAGCACTGGCGGATCATCACCGACCATGTCGGGTTCGACGACTCGCTCGGGCGCCCCTGCAGCGGGGGGCACCCGCGCGCAGAGACCCGCGGGAAGGACGCGAATCACAGCGAGAACTACGCGACCAAGCTCGCGGCGGCGCTAGGCGAGCAGCTGCGACGTCCAAACCGCCGACCTGTACGATAGGCTCACCCTACAGCGACGACGAGAAGGGTAAGAAGAAAGACGGTTCCAGCCGCCGCAGCCGCTCAGGAGCCAGTGCTCACGGCCGCGGAGGAGCGGACACTACGGTCCGCCATCGGTCAGCTCCACGTGAACACGGGGCACCCGTCCAACGATTCACTTGCCCGAGCCATTCGTTTGACTGGTGGGTCGCAAAGGTCCATCGATATGCTTCCAAACCTCTACTGCGAGGTTTGCGCAGCACATCAGCGACCACTACCACATCTACCGGGGCGGATCAGACTGGACAGGGGCTTCGACGACTCCATCGGAGTGGACCTGTTCACCCTGGCCGACTACGCTGGCAACCAGCTGGTCCACCTCAGCGTGGTCGACCTGGCCTCGGGTTTTACGATGTGCGGCGCTGTCGCATCAAGGCGCCCATCGGTTGTTTCCGCTTGACTGTTGCAGATATGGATCACGCCTTTCGGCGCGCCTCAGCGCGTCATATTTGATGGAGGAGGCGAGTTCGAGCGAGAGTTCTCCAAGGAGCTCGAGGACATGGGCTGCCGCCTGATGACGACATCTGCGGCGACGCCGCAGCTCAATGCTACCGTGGAACGACATGGGGGGATGTGGAAAGTGCACGCGAGGAAACTGATCGACCAGCTCAGCATCAGGTTCGACCAGCCCGCGGCCGCTCGCAAAATCCAGAGGATGATCGCCTCCGCGTGCTGGGCCATGAACAGACAGGTCAACGCCACGGGCGACTCGCCGTCGCAGCGGGTGCTCGGGCGAGGCCTTCGCCTCCCGCATGTCCTGCTGGACAACGCCGGCAGGCTGTCCCTGCGCGAGCGCATCGTGTCCGACAAGCCGTTCTCGGAGAGGATCGCGGTTCTGAAGGCCGCGCAGACCTCCATGCAGCACCTGAGATTCAACCGGCCCCTCTCAGGGGCGCTGCTGGCCCGATCTCGGGCAGATGGAGCTCAGCCCGCCAGCGGCATTTACCAATCGGGCGACCAGGTGCGCTACTGGAGGGGCAACGGCAAGCCCAAGATATAATGGGCCTTGCAGTGGCGCGGGCCCGCCGTCATCATCGGATTCGATGGCGCATCGAACGCGTGGGTCAGCCGCCGCCCCACGACCGCGATGGTCAACCGTCGACACCTACGCCGCGCCACGGCCGCGGAACACGTTCCGTGGGGACACGTGCTGAACGCGCTGAACAGCAACCGGCCGCCTGGACCCCCGCCGGGCGCGCCGCCAGGGGCCTCCGGGCCCGCACCTCCTCCAGGTTCTGGAGGGGGCGGCGGGGGGGGAGGCGGCGGAACCCCGCCGCCCGGCCCTGAGAGGAGGAGGCCCTGCAGGACCGGCACCGCCAGGCGCTGACGACGACATGTTCCTTGACCAGGCGGGACCGACACCGAAGAAGCGCCCCCGCAGTGACAGTCAGCCCCCCGCACCACCAGCGCTACCAGCGCCCGATCAGCAGCCCGCCATCCAGCGACGCAACTTCGGCAACATCGAGCACTCCGAAGCGAACCAGCGCGCCCATGAGTACGCCGAGTGGCTGGCACGCCGCCATGGAGACGGCGATTTCACAGCCGGTGGAGGAGCAAGCGGCAGTGGAGGGCCGGCCCCACCGCCTTCGGGAGGAGACATACAGCAGCCCCCGCCGCTGCCACCGCCAGCAGAGCCGCCGCCGCTACCAGCGGCCGCCGACCCGCCGGCGCCGCCAGACTCAGACTCAGGCGACGCTGCCGCTCCTGCAGCCACTCCCGCCGCTGCTGCCGCAGATTTTCGACCTCCTGAACCTGCCCCTCAGGGCCCGGTCGACGACGACATCGAGTCCGACGGTTCGGACATGATTCGAGAATGGGCCAATATTGCGGAGGGGCAGGCGCGCCGGGAGACGACGTCGCGGCGCCCGCCGGACACGGAACCAGCGCGGCACCAAGACGCAGCGCCGAGTTCAACAGGAGAACGCACCAGTGGCACTGCAACGTGACCGCCAGCGCGAGCTCGACCCCCGCGAGCGCGCTGCCAGGCGCAAGGATCTCTCGGACGATCTGCCCAAGCGTTTCGAGAGGCCAAAGGACACGATCAAGGTCGACCTGTACCTAGACAACTACTTCCAGGAGCACGCGGACGGGCTCTACGCAAGCACACGACTCCGCGAGGCATTGCTCACGGGCAATGCGACCGCCAAGGAGCTCAAGTACGACGCGCTGAGCGCCGCCGAGAAGAATAACACGGGCGCCGCCATGAAGACCGAGTGGTCCAAGTGGACGGAGTTCAGCGCCCACAAGAAGCTCCCGCCCAAGGAGCTGAAGGAGCTCCTGCGGCGCAACCCTGGCATGCGCCCTGGCAATGAAGTTTCCGGCGGGTGACTTGTTATTGTAGTCCCCGCTCAGGCGGCGGCGTTCCAGCCCGAGACGGCGACTGGGAGGAGCGCGAATCAAGCTCACCCCCCAGGAACGCAAGAGGCCCAAGAGGGCTTCCCCCAGAAGCCTCGAGGGCCCTGTGATTTCATCCCTTGCTCGCAGCAGCCGTTTTATTTCAGAATAAGGCCCTTGGCCTCAGAGCTACGCCCCTCGAGACGCCGCGAGTAAGAATATCCATCGACAATCTTCCATATCACAAACGCGTCTCGCACGCGCCGAAGGGTCGGCTGGTTTTGCACGCCTTCATTCTTTCTGGGCCGATTTGTTTTTTTTGCTGACCGACATGTAGCCCCGCTCTCCCCCCACTCAGTTGCCAGTTAAATGCGAGCCACATGCCGGCCATGTTGGATGTGAAAGCGAGCGCAGGCACAAGAAACACAAACGAAGTAATATTGGAACTTGCCGGAGGCACGCTCAACAAAAGGCGTGCTGAAGGCACGTCAAACGCGAATTGAAGACATGCGCAAAGCATGCGAAGCATATGCACGAGTCGAATACTTGCCAGGTGCATGCTGAAAATAGTCACAAAGGGGACCAGGAAAGTTGCCCGATTCCAGAGGAGTCCGGGGTGCATTTTGGAGCAAGCAGGGTGAGGTCGCCCTTGCCACCAGCCCACGGATGAAGCAATGACCGTTGAGCCAAAATGTGTTAGAGGAGTGTGAGAAATGGGGTGATTGGTGTATTGGTTGAGTGAAGTATGAAAGCGGAGGCGTGTTGGACCCATCCTTGCAGGCGTCTTCGTTGGCCTCGCAAGGAGGTTTCCGGCCCCTCCACTTGATTATCAATGCCGTAATGTGAAACATGGGAGCAAGCCCCTTGCAGCCCCTATGATGGCAATTGCCGAGGGGGTGGGGCCCAAAATGGTCCCCACCAGAGTGGCTGAGGCCCTGGGTGGCCCTCGCCGAGGAGTGTAAGTCGTACGCGGGCGTGGCTCCTGAATAGGGGGAGGTCTTTATCACCAGTGTTGGTCTGAGAATCGGTGGCCGCCTTCCGCCCGCAGGCGAGCGTAACATTACTTCTGCGCCATTCCGCCGACCAACCAGCGGTTTCATTCAACAAGAGAGTTGTTGCAGTTCGATGCGATTCGTCACATCGGGGGCGTGTTTCTTTCTCACCCCTTCTCATGCTCCCCTTACCTCTGCTCCCCTCCTCGTCCTCCCCCTCCCCCATTCATCTCCTCCTGCTTCGCGTCCTCCTTCTATCCCCACCCCCCTGGCTTGACCGTTCTTGGGCTCCGGCCATCGTAGCTTTTGGAGGCCCCCCCTTCCTCTTCAGAGGGCTTGCGCTCCGACGCCCCCCCGCCCTGGTCGCCGCCGCAGAGGCGCCGAGATCCCCACCTTCTACCAGTTCCAGAGCAACCTGGTCGCGGACGAGGAGCGGGGCGGAGAAAGGGGGGGATTGGTCCAGGCCGCCCACATGAGCTCAACGTAGTTGGGGCCGGAAGGTCGCGCCACATCGCCGATGCATCCGATCTGTACCATCCCGATGTCGCCGATGAGTCCCCGATGCATTAGCGATATTGCGTTTTCATCCGACCCCATCTGCTCGGTCCTTGGGGGGGGGGGTCTTGACGCCGACCGTCGGCATTAAAATTGTTAAAGGGTGCTGGCGGAAATATGCAGCTCCATAGCATGGCGGCTTTTGTTTCCGTTGGCGCGGGCTCCCACCGCTGTGCTAGCGGCTTCGGATTTCGAGGCGAGCATCGTAGGCCCCAATCCTCGTACGGATGCATCGGTTCCTCTTCTCTTCTCTTCCTCCCTCCTCGCTCGCTCGCTCGCTCGTAAAGGCATTAGTGGTTCGCTGCCTATCCTAGAGACGGGAAAAAAGGACCAAGAGGAAGAGAGGGAGGGAGAGGAAGGGGATCAGGTGGCATGGCGACTGTCGAACGACGCAAAATCGGCGCCACGCTCATCCTGGAGGTAGGGGTCGAGGGGAACGCAGAAGGGGGCAAGACCAGGGTCAAAGTCCCCCTCCCCCGCCACTCCAGAAAGCCGAGCAACCTGGGGCCTGACCTGCCTGAAGATGGCCTTGCCCTGGAGCTCGCAGAGGCCCTCCTCATGCCGCCCTTCATGGGAGACATGGTGGTGTGATCCGTCCCACCTGCAACCTCCTCGAGCTTCGATCTCCTCCCCCAGGGTCGAGCAGTGGATCGCGAGGAGGGTGGTAGGCTTCAAGCTCGCGCTCCCGAGCGTGCATTGATGGATGTGGTAAAATCGAGCATGCTCCTTGTCACGAAACACGGCCAACTGCGGCAGCATCCAAGCCGACGGTGCCAAACTCCTGGATTCCAAACTGCTCGGGTGCTCCATGATGGCGCACACTTCAAACTTGTAGCACAAGTGTAGCATGAGAAGGGTGGTTCCTCCCTCCTCCTCCTCCTCCTCCTCCCCCTCCCTCCCAGAATTGATAGCTTCGATGCTACTGTCTGCAGGGGTATTGCGCGATGGTGCTTGCGGCCGCTGCTGGCCGACCCTGGGTCGCGTACGCAGCCCAGGGTTGCTCTTTGTATGCCGCTGCGGAGGAGCATCGCGTATGCCAGGCGCCGCAATGCCCGCCACAAGTTTCAGTTTCCATAGTTGGCGAGTGTTTACACCCAGCATAATTTCCCCCCTTCGCGTCTGTTCCAGCCTTGTGCCACGCACTGCGTATGATGCGATTCATTGAATGGCGTTGTGTGATGCCGGCTTATATGAATGATCGGATCTAGGGGGAATTCATTCACAATGATGGCGGGGTTCCGTATCCAATTTTGGCCGACCTTCACTCCGACGCAGAGGTCTTCTGCATCGTTGACCGCGCCGGCTGCGCCTTCTCCGGTTTCCTCGTGGTCTCCTACCCCGTGCTCTTCTCCATCACGGTCGTCATCTGTTTCGTCCTTTCTTTTTTCCCCTTTCCGCTACTTCGACCCCTGCACCTACGTCCAGGTCTACATCGCTGTTTTGCCCTACCATAACTCCTGCTCCGACCCTGGCCCGGGGAACGCGTACAGTTTGGTCTGGACACTTCTTACCCACCGCTTGGGGGCAGGCTTGGTCCCGCGTCGCGTAACACTACGGCGGGGGCCAACATTTCCACGCGGAGCACCATGACCCGCACCAGCAGCTTTACTTCGACATCCATTCGGGGGACGTTTTTGGTCTGCGGGTCGGGAGCGGGCCCCTTCCTGTCAAGAGCTAAACGGGACGCGGGTAGCCCTGATTGGGGAGACAGGGCGCGGACGGGCGGGGCTTCAGGCGGCCGGAGGGCTCAGAAAACAGGCGGTGCCGAAGATCTTGCACAAGACAAGGTACGCCATGGACTGGAGCAGGGGGCGCGCTCCCAGAGGGAAAGTGGATTGGTGTTGCTGTCAACGGCGCGCCAAGAACACCATCCTCGAGTGCTGCGTGAGGAGGGCCGTGAGCAAGTCAACGTCCGCGAGGTAGAGGGAGACCAGGAAGGCGAACTGCACAAGGTGCCACCGACTGGTAAGGAGGGGCCCAGGAGATGCGGACGACCACGAAGTCGATGTGCAGCGTCGTGCCACCGGGTGGTCAGTAGCGGCCTGGGGTGGTAGTCCAATCCACGTCCAGGTAGCAGCCACGAGGTTCGGCATGAAGGCCGACTGTGTCCGCCTGCCGTGGGCCGGGCCGGAGCCGCGCTGCCCAGGGTGAGCGGGGCCGCCAAGGCGGCAAGGTGCAGAGCCAGACCCGGGCCGGAGCCGCGCTGTGCCGGGCGCCTCCGCCATGGGAGGGGGGGAGAGCGAACGGGGAGGAAAAAGCGGGCAGGGAGGAGAGAGGCCAGCGTCCCACGCCGGCCGGAGTCCCGAGGTGCCCGCGTGGGGACACGTCCCAATACGCACAGGCAAGGCCCGAGGCCCCAGCGCGGGCGTGCCACGCACGTTGCCGCCGTACAAACGCTTCGCAGGTACACCGCACTCACATCTATACCCCTGGGTGGGTGTATGTGCGGCCGTTTTTGCGCTGTCATGTGCGCGCATGTGCGCGGCATGTGCCAGTCATGTGCCAGGCCTGTGCGGTCCTTCTTGGGTGGACTTCCTACTGTGCACGTCGTGCCCGGGCATGTGCGGGGGCATGTGCGCTGTGTTTTGATGTATCCATCATACGCACATGCACGCACAGTCCGACGCACATGCGCGCACATGCCTGCACATGCGGGAGGTGTTCGAGAATCGCAGATCTGTCATCGGCACATGCACGCACATGCCTGTGCAACCTCTCTTCGGGAGGCCGCGCGGGCCCGCACATGCACGCACATGCGGTGAAGCGCGCGGGCGCACATGCGTGCACATCCCAATGCACATGCACGCTCATGCCCTAGGAGCTGTCTGGGACCCCTGTGCCTCCAATGTTTCCTGGCCTTCGCAGAGCTAACCTGGGGCGCGCCAGGGCTTCCTGAAAGAGTTTGTTGTGCGTTTAGACTCGCCCGCTGCTGGCGGGGGCGGTTCTTCGCCCGGTTCGTGAGCTGGCGGTGGCGCGCCCGCCTAATAAAATACTCTCCCGCGCGCCTTCTCAGCTCGGCCGGAGAAACAGGGACGGGGGGGGGGGAGGTGGAAGGGGGGGGAGGAGGGGGGGGCGGAGGAGGCGGGCGCCCCCGGCTCGGCCGGCCCGCCTGCCTGTTCGGCTCGGCCAGAGGAGAGGAGGAGGAGGAGGAGGAGGAGGAGGAGGAGGAGGAGGAAGGAGGAGGAGGAGGAGGAGGAGGAGGAGGAGGTGAGAGTTGCGAGGATGTCTCAGGCGAAAGTGGCTTGACGGCCCGAGCTCAGGGAATCTCGGAATCGCTGGCCTGGCTCGGCCACCGGCGAGCTCGGCCTGTGCGAATACTGTGCGTACCTGTGCAGTGCATGTGCGGGACGTGCAAGAATGCCGGGGCCGGCGTTCGTCTCCGGACGCCGGCGCGTTCGCGTCCGGCCAGTTCCGCGTGAGACGTCGTCGGCAATCTGGAGGCCGACGTGCTTTGACATGGAGTGATCTGGCCACCTTCGCCTGAGACATCCTCGCAACTCTGGTCTCGGAGATGCCCTGCCCCATGGTGGCCCGGCCACTTTCGCTTGAGACATCCTCTGGACTCTGGGTTTCGAGACGCCCTGAGCTGAGGTGGTTAGACCACTTTCGCCTGAGACATCCTCGCAACTCTGACCTCAGAGATCTCCTGCCCCATGCTGGTCAGGCCACGGTCGCCTGAGACATCCTCGCAAGTCTCGATTCCGATATGCCCCGAGCTGAGGTGGTCAGCCACTGTCGCCTGAGACATCCTCGCAACCCTGATCTCAATGATGCCCTGCTCGATAGTGTCTCGGCCCCTTTCGCCTGAGACATCCTCGGAACTCTGGGTTCCGAGACGCCCTGAGCTGAGGTGGTTAGACCACTTTCGCTTTAGACATCCTCGCCCGAGATGCCCTGAGTTGAGCTGTTCAGGCCACTTTTGCCTGAGACATCCTCGCAACTCTGACCTCAATGATGCCCTGCTCCATAGTGTCTCGGCCTTTTTCGCCTGAGACCCTCGCAACTCTGGGTTCTGAGATGCCCTGAGCAGGTGGTCAGGCCAGTCCTGCCTGAGACATCCTCGCAACTCTGGGCTCCGAGATGCCCTGGGCTGAGGTGGTCAGACCACTCTCCCCAGAGACATCCTCGCAACTCTGACCTCAGAGATCTTTGCCCCATGGTGGTCAGGCCACTTTCGCTTGAGACATCCTCACAACTCAGACCTCGGAGGTGTCCTGCCCCATGGTCGTCTGGTCACCTTGACCAGCGACATCCTCGCCACTCTGGTTTCCAAGATGCCCTGCCCCATGGTGATCCGGCCACGCTTGCCTGAGACATCCTCGGAACTCTGGGTTGCGAAATGCCCCGAGCTCAGGTGGTCAGGCCACTATCGCCTGCGACATCTCTGCGGCATGTGCGGGCATGTGCGTCTATGCTTTCAGAGTTTTGCTTGACCGTGCATTCGACTGTGTGTCGGACGGTGTGGCATGTGCGCGCATGTGCGGCAATGCTGTTGAGGCTTTTGTATATTTGCATGGGCATGTGCATGCGACTGTGCGGCATGTGCCTGCATGTGCGGCCCCTTCCGGACCACAATTTCAAAGTGAGCACTATAGAAGTGAGCGCTATAGAAGTGAGTCCGGTGTAAGAGCAGAGGGGGACACAGAGTCCCAGATCTTTGAGGCAAGTCCAGCCGATGGTTACAGGGGGGACACAGAGTCCCAGGTCCTCGAATCACGTTCAGCCGATGGGTACAGGTAGGACACAGAGTCCCATATCCGTGGGAAACAGCAGATGGGCACAGGGGGGACACAGAGTCCCAAGTCAGGGAAAGTCAATCAGCCGATGCAAACAGGTAGCACACAGAGTCCCAGATCCTTGGATACAAGAGGGGAG